GTTCAGAAATTAAGTTTTTGCTAAAATACTACAGATCTGTGGCATTTTAGTCTTCAGATGTAAGCAACTGAAACACAAATAGTTATGTTCCATCATCTTTAATCTACGTGCTACTTTAATAGAATCTAAATTAAGAAGAGTTTCACACTAATTTACCTGAAAATACCACCCTAAGCTTGATAAGTTTTATTAGCCATTATATTTCACGGGATGAGTAAGCTCTAATGAAACATTCGTTCAGACTATCAACTATTCCCTTCTGAGCCACCAGCCTCCTGGATGCCTTCTGAGAGTAGCTGAAGGTATGAGCTGTTTAATAAATATTTGCCCAGTGAAAATAGCAGCCAACCACAGGTCCATTTCTTCAACTGCTCACATCTTCAGTGATCCAAGAATGCCACTCCTAGCACATAAAACTGGGGTGGCGGTGGAGAATAAATACTGAGCATAAACAAGGGAGTGCCAAATTCTAGGTTTCCTCTTCAAAAAGGAAGCCGTCCAAAGACTGCAGGAGAGCCAACGACACATCTTTCAGGCCAGGCAGCTCAAGAGCATGCTACTCCCTGCTAACATCTTAGGATCTATTACCTGTATTTTAAAGCATCACATATCAAACAGTAACAACAACAACAAAAGCATGGGTGATTACATAGATAACTGTGTGCATGTCATTGAACTTCAAAAAGTTCACGGGAAAATGAAACGAAAGGATGATGGCATTTCTCCACGAACTTTAACACTGTGCCATATGGATACAGGAAGACATGCGTGAGTACAGGCCTGTGCATGTAGTTATATCTGTAGGCCTACATATACACATCTCTGTGTGCTGCACCTATAGCCCTAGGTTTATATTAAACCATATAGGAGACACAATTAAGAAGCTACAAAGACTGCCTAGACATGTTTGAACAAATCATGGGATCTGTTTACCAGGCTAAAAGGCTTGGAACCATAATATCAAGGGACAATTTAGTCATTGACTGAGGTAGTTAGATAATTTTATGCCCACTTGAAGATATATAAAAGTGTACAGGTGGTATCCAACCTGTCCGTCAGGTTACAGCCTGGTGGTGCGTCCTGGTTGGCGTGGCCTTGTTATAAGGAGGGCCTTGGGCACCTCTCCTACTTCTCTGCCTTCACGTTCCTTCTTGCTGGCCACCTCAAGACCCCACCGGAGCCATGCCATGTTTCCACCAACCTTGGATCTGCACGACTTTGCACCCAGCAGTACATTCTGTATCACTGCATGTGACTGTGAGTGTGAAAAAGGGCTTATGGACTAGGATCAGACCCATAGACTTGAACTGGACTGGGCTGGGAGGTGTTCTTGATAGATGATTACTTGTTGATATAAAGCAATCATCTTTACGCATACATGAATGTCTCTGGATTTCTCTCTCTAGACAACCCAGCCTAACACACTGGCATAGCAAGTGCCCAGACAATGTTCCTAGTTGGCGAGTCGCAACTGGGGTCTTAAGACCTTATCGTGGGCATTCTAAGTCATAAGTGACGGTCTGCGTTTATCAAGAGCAAAGGGCCTAAGAAGAAACGAGTCCCATACAAACCACAGGCTCTTCCAATTTGAGACCAGAGGAGCCAGATAGTGAATGGCCACCACTGCCGTCTGGTCTGCCCAGACACACAACAGAACGTTCTAGACAGAATGAGATTAAAAACAACGTAGAACAAACTTCAGACACTAATAAAAGGCAGACCTACTAGTAAAATGAGAGACAGCTCCAGGATGATTGCCCTAAAAACTAATCTTTGAACTTGGCACTGAAGCTACTCAGGGAGGTCACCCTTCAGCCAATTAAGACTGGCTTATAAAATGAACAATATCACCAGTGAAAAAGGTGCTCCCTTCAACAATCAATATCAGAGACCAAATGGTCAACGCTTTACTCCAAAGCAAAGAGGGGAGGACACAGAGTCAACAGAAATCCTGAGAACGCTGACACACTAGGGCAATTCTAGCCACTGTCACAGAACCATCTTTAAGCAAAGTGTTAAATGGGAGCTGAATTTCTCTGTAAACTTTCTTCTTTTTTATTGTTTAATAAATCATTTTATTGGGGGGCTCTTACAACAATTCATGCATCAATCTGTTGATCGTTCCCCCCCACCCAGGGGTGTGGGGGGAGTTTTGTACGTCGATCATTGCAATAGGTTCCCCTTCTCCCCCTACTTTGCCCCTACCCTCCTGGTATCACTCATTATTGTTCCTGAGAGGTTTATCTGTCCTGGATTCTGTGTGTTGAGAGCTCTTATCTGTACCAATGTACGTACTCCAGTCTAGTGGGATTTGTAAGGTAGAACTGGGTCATGATAGTGGTGGGGAGGAAGCATTAAAGAATTAGAGGAGTGTTGTGTTTCATCGGTGCTATACTGCACCCTGACCGACTCATTCTTTTCTTGTGGCCCTTCTGTGAGGGGATGTCCAATTGTCAACAGATGGGCTTTGGGTCTCCCTTTACTCTGTAAACTTTCACCTAAAATACAAAATTTAAAAGCTTAGTGATTCTAAACCTTAAACCCAAAATCCCTTTTGAGTCTTCTTTGAACCAAACCATGGTTCATGAGTTAAGTAAGTCTGCCTGGGATATTATGGTCTGTAACCATCTATACGAGGAGTCTCAGTAGTCAAGCGGTTCACTACTTGGCAATAGTTGGTGGCTTTAACCAACCAGCCACCCTTCAGAAAGATGTGGAATCAGGCTCCATGAAGATTTAGACTTGGAAATCTAGCAAGAGGGCAGTTCTACTCTGTGCTGCAGGGTCACCAGGAGTCGGACTCACTGCCAGCAGTTGATTGACTCACCGCGACCCCAAAGGACAGAGTGGAACTGCCCGGGGTTCCTGAGACTACATCTTTACAAGCGTGGCAAACTCCATGTGTCCTGCAGAGCAGCTGGTGGTTTCAAACTGACTGTGTGGTTAGTAGCCTAGCGGTCATCACGACAGACCAGCGCTCCTTTTCCATGAGTCAAAATCAACATGGTTACCCAGCCTGTTATCTAAATGGGATCAAATGGGCAACAGAAACTAGCAAGGGTAGATTCCCTCCTGGGGGTTGGGAATTTATGCTCACGAAGGAGGAACAACTCAGCAGTGAAAATGAATGCGTAACTCCAGGAATGTAATCAGCACTATTAAACCGTAGAAATTGTTGTTGACTCTCCTGTGTATGAGGGGGCTCCCAAAAGTTTCATGGATGAAGGAGTTAAGATAATTTTTCCAACAAGTTTTTGCAGCCTTCAAATTTATCTTCCACAAGAATAAATTATAAAAGCAAAGCCACACGTCAGTTAAAAATCTTCCACTTATAGTTTACAAGGAATTTCTTGGAAGAAATCCAAATCAAGGACGTGGGATTCTCACTGGAAAAGGGCAAGTGCAGCACAAATCAACCCATTTAAACAGGGTCACCGGCTCGTGGAATTACTAATGCTTTTGAGGGGCTGATACCTCATGTATCTCCTTTTCCTTTCTTCCTGTGTGTACATTTTAAGACTCCCCAGATCTTACCGAGCTCCCGATAGGAAGGGGAGAGAAAGAGAACTAGTCTCTTACTAGCCTCTTCAAATCTATGTGCCCTTCTGCTCAAATAACCTGAATCAATATTGCTATGATGCCAAAAAACATATCTTCCCTTAAGGAACTTCGTGACTAGTTAAAAACGAGACCTTGACTGCCCTTCTTCAATGCAGTGACACAATCAACTCAGGCTCGCGTAGGTCGCTAGTCCATTGCATGTAGCCTGCCAACTCAAAATGACGATTCCAAAGATGCTCTTTTCAGTCCACAACACCAAGACACACCATGCAATGCACGGTGCACACGGGTATTGTTTTTCCAAGCTAAATCTGCTAGCACATCTTAACATTAAGACCCTAAGAGACCAGACTGGATGAAAAATTAGGCCACTGCTTTCAAACCCTTTAAAACATTAAAATCTATGCTGAGAGTGAGTGGAGCACAAAACTGACATTTAATCACTGCGCCGGTTTCCATATGTCCTCTTCCGTGCTACTCGCCAATAATCAATGAACCTGTAAGTTTAGAGGCACTGTAATTAGAAATAATGAGAACAATTTCTAGAATTACCCCACCTTTAAACTGTATTGCAGTGTAAGACAAGATCCCTTTGAAATTACTAAGGATTATCCAATTCTGCTCATGTGGCTTTAGAAAATCCTTTCTTATAATTCTGTGGCGTTTTTGTTGTGATTATTGGGTGCTGTCCGGCGATGAGTAGGTTTCGACTCATAGTAATCCTCTGTACATTAGAACAATACATCCTCCCATTTGCTTTGTGGCACCTTGGCACTTAGAGGGAAACACGGTGAGTGAGTGTGAAAGGTTCCCAGAGAAGTAGGTCACTAAATAAGTTTCAAATCACTTGATTCAAAATGGCACTTAAAAGTAAAATTACACATTTTATTCATTCATTCCATCAGCTGAGAATTGCTCTATTGTACAAATACAAGATTGTACAAAAATCACAAAATGTTACAAAATAAAAAAGTACAAACTGCATTACTTAATAAATAGGACTAAAGTAGTTAAAGTGGAAATGAGATAGATTCCAGGTTGGTAATTGTTTGACCCAGCAAACCGTATAAGCTCTGTTTGTTTACAGGCATTTTTACATACTACAGGGCAATCCTATTTTGCCTTTGGAGAAAATGGAGTATCCTGCTATACAATCACTGCCGAACATTGGAGGCCTTTACTGATGCTTGGGTTTTTTAGTTTTTGCCCCAAGATCTTAGCTGAATATAAGTAACTATATAAAGCAGGAGACTTATGTAGTCAGAAGGTTACAGTCCATGTTAAAATCCTTTTGTAACAAAATGATATAGATAAATTAAAAAAAAAAATGAGAGCACCAGGCCATCTACTACAAACATGGAGCAAAACCCAACCCAGCCCACTGCCCTCAGTGGCTTCTGACACAGCAACCTATAGCACAGGGTAGGCTTGTCCCCCATCCCACCCCCACCCTCTGTAGGGTTTCTAGGGCCCTAAATCCTTATGGAAGCAGGCTGCCACATCTTTCTCCAGGTTAATTGGTTCAAACTTCCCACCTTCCTTAGGGTTAGCAGCACTCTGATCACTGACACCAGGGCTCTCCTTAAGGATCTACCCCAAAACAAAATAATGGCTCTGTCATCAGCAAATAGTTGATTTCCATTCAAGCAAGAGCTGGCACTACCCCTGAAAAATAATATTAATACTTCTCCCCACAACCTTCCCTCTAAGTAGTTCTCTTTAAAAGGCTGACCATTTCTAGAAAAATAAAGATTTCCAAAACAACAACATCTGTTCTTTTAATCAAAATGGAATGGGTCAATAAATCTGAGAGCACAAAAGCATCAAGATCCATTTGAGAGCATTATAAGATGCAAATTTCAACAATGTAAAATAACTACTACTACTCTGTTCAATAACTTCAGATCAAGCACTTCTCTGGAAGGATGCCCGGAAGCCATTTGTCAAAAAAGGTTCACACGCCTTGGATGAAGGTACGCCAGTTTTAAAAAATGTTGTGCAAAAATACATTCTTATATAGAAAATATTGCCAGGGATGGAGACATTTACACTGTGAGAAATGAGCTTGCAAATCAAGTAGTGCTAATTTTATACAGCAAATTATAAATAGCAGGTGGCTGACCCAAAGCTCTCAGAAAACACCACATAGGTGGCCTGCAACTTTCAGCTCTGGGAGGGGGGGTTAATATTTAAAAATCAACCAACCAACTGAAAAACAAAACCACCCAAAAGATTAAGGCATTACATCTACAGAAATCTACAAGGAAGTTTAAAAGTGCTATTACCCTGATTTGAGTTCGTGTAATTCTCCAAACCCAAGTTTATTTATGACCTTCCCCCAGGGTGCTGGATTGCAAACATTTCAAGAGCATGCATTCTGTTCAATATACATCTTGGAGAGGGATATCGCCATGGACTTGGCAAGCTCTTCGTCGCGTTTCCTTTGCACTTGAGTTTGTTTGCACCAGTGGTCGTACTCCGGGTTGGGGTAGGAGTGATCGAACACTGCATCGTAGTGCCCATTACTGAGCCAACTGAGCCAAATACTGGGCCGGAGGGAATCCTCGGGCCCCAGATAATGGATCATGGTAGACACGGTGGGGCTCTCCACCCTCCCTCCGGTCGTTAGATGAATGTTCACATTCAGCATCTGCCCCATGGCCAGCAATTCGGGGTACCCGGCCCACGCCCCGTCTTGAGCAGCAGCGATGATAAACTCGCCCACGTCCCCCTCGATCAGCGGGCTGAAGTGGTCCAGGTGGTCTGCGATGTAGTGGACCGTCTGCTCGCGCAGCTCGCGGTGCAGGCTCTGGTCCCCGTACACCGTCTTGCTGACCGCTCGGTAGAGGCAGTTGCCGTCGGGAATGATGTGAAACCGGTACTTATTCCTCTGGCGCAGGTACTTGTCCTGCTTCTCCACCTCCGCCAGGTACAGGGCCAGCTTCTCGTCCCGGGGATCCGACCGCGCGACGATCGCCGCCTCCCCGGCGCTCTCGCCGCTCCGCGAAGGGGGCGCCGGGGCCTCGGGCTCCGCGCCGCCCCGCTCCC